GAGAACCTATCCACGTCATTATTTACCCAGATGCTTTGCGTGTAAATAAAATGGCTCCGTCTGTGTTAAAATATATTTTTAAAAATTTACTAAACTAAACAGCCTACAGTATTTTTACAGTCTTTATTTTACAGTTAAAATAAATGTTTAGCAAATAAAGTCTAATGTTACAACTAATCAGGGATCCCTTTAACAGTTAGCCCTTCAGTGTTGCTAATGCTAACACTGTGCTACAGAAAATGAGCCGTTGTGGGTCAGGGAACACGGAGCATCTCATCTCCTTTGGGTTGCGGTACACATTTGCCAACGCTGTCCCAAAATTATAAGAGTATCATCGTGAAAACACCTTTGAATGAGCTGCTTTTGAAACTATTGCAGTTGTATTAACAGCACTAACTTCCTCTCTAGGTCTGTGCTCCGTCCCGCCCCCTCATTTCTGTCCAATGGGAACAATGACCGTCACCCACGTCGCTTTGTTTATAAATTGTAGTCCGCTAGCAAAAATGCCAAATATGAATGCAAGCCACACCAAACAAAAAAAAATAAAGTCCGCTTCTGGTCCGGACCAAACAAGCGGAAGAACTTTCCTGGTGTGAATACATCCTAAAATATTAGAGTTGTTTTAAGACGTCRGCAATGTCTTTCAGAGTAGCCCTTATCTCGTCAGCCCTGTCAGATATAAACTGTTTATCCATACTGAGGTCATATAAAACACTACTTTTAACAAGTAAGATAATATTACTCATAACTTTTCCATAGAATCTCATTTTTAAAAGGCTGAAACGTTCCTTAAAGTTTAATTAGATGCTTGAGTCGTTGTTGTGCTCCAACATGTTACTGATGTGATGTGATGTGAAACTGTCGAGTGGTTTTGTTTTCCTGAAAGACAAAACAAAAGCAGCATGTGGATATTTTTAAGCGCTTTATTCAGAGCTGCTGAGTGGAGTACTCACCTGCCTGAAGTCCTGACTCATCCAGCTATGACATGCAGCTCGGGGAGGACAACAAAACAAAACCAAATCCAAACAAACCCACCTGAAAGTACTCAGGTGTGTCATCAGTGCACGAGGTGCCTTCTGTCACCGAGACTTGCTTACTCACTGCTCACAAATGTCACGCAGACGCACACAGAGAACTAAATCTGGGCTCTTTCTCTGATTTACATCTTCACACACATAAGCACACTCCCCAATCTGGAGAGGAGCGGTGTTCCGCTCCAGATGGTACCTCCATGTGTCTACAGCGAAGGGAGCTACTGGGTTACAGCAGACATCTGTTCTGGTGATGGTGGTGCTGGGAGTGAAGGATGTGGAGAGGAGGAGGGAGGGGGAGGGCCTCTGCCTCTGCCTGCTCTGGAGGTGATTCTTTACCTGAATAGAAGGCTCTGAGGTGCAGCAGGTGATCATCATCGTTAAGCGTGCCGTCTCCTGCTCGGCTCTGTTTCTCCTGCCTGCTCCCTCGCTCACGCTGCTCTGCTCTGCGCTGGGAAAACCCGCTTTTGAGAGAGAAGACGGGGTGATAAATGTGTGACTGGTGCCTAGCTGTGTCCTTTCTTTACCCAAAACCCGACACTCTTTAATGTTGATGAGAGCTAATGACGTGCACCATCAGTCAATCCACGAGGCGTAGCAGCTTTGGAGCCTAAACGATTGTTCTCTCTCACCTGAATGAGGAGTAAAGGATTTTGTTTCCCCCTGTTTTTGTCTGTGTTTGTGTGCACGTGCTGTACTGGACCCGGTTCGGCGACAGTTTGTGTGGCCGCTAGCTTGTTAGCGTGGCAAGACTACGGGGTCATGGGAGCAATTGGCTGCCAGGCTGCCTGTGCAGTGTGCCAGGAGCAGGACACAGAAATAATGAACAACTGTGCATGCATGTGTGTATAGGCGCACACACACACACAAACACAAACACACACACACACACACACACACACA